GTCTATATGTGTACATGATCCGGTATGCTTGTAGGAGGGGGAGGGGGAGGGGGAGGGGGGTATTGGGTTGGACATTGTGTTGTGGGCGTGGTATCATGTGGACCTGTGCTCTGTGGTGTGGTGGTGAAGCTGATCAGGGGAAGGGAAGAAGAACAGGTGGTTCAGTTCCTGTGGGTTTGGGTGTATACAAGATGCCTACCGTCCTGTACAACTTTCTTCTTGCGCAATCCAACTCCTGCATACCATATGTACCGTACCCTGCCCTAATACGTGGAGTGGTCAATTCCGTGGCTAAAGGAGTAGGTCGTTGAGAGGGCCATAAAATGATTATCCTCACAATCAAACAGTCAAACAGTCAAACAGTCAAACAAACAAATCAAATCCCAATCCAGTTGGTTTTGCTCTGACTTGCTCGGCGGGTCTCGGCCCGACTCCCGCCAGTTGACTTTCAGCCTAATCCTCCAGCACATTCTCATTCTGCACAATCAAGCTGCGTGTGGCTTTCGCTCAGACCTCCCTATCAAGTCACCAGTGGTGTACAGGGCCGAATTCCCGACTTCAGCTCTCCTCCTCTACATTCAACCTACAGTTGTCCTCTCCATGTTCGTCTGCGCTCATCGTATCGTTCACATTCACATTCATATTCATCATGCATACAGCTATACATTTACCCGATAGCGCTCAATAGCCTCCAAAGAAAGTAGCAAATCAGACTAACTAGACCCACATGCAGAAACACAACGGCGGAAGGGGGTATGTAACATCACAAAACGAGAGGAACTCGGCCCTGCCAAGAAAGGCCAAACTTACCTAGTAGAATGGGGCTGCCGGATTCACAAAGAACGTCGAGTCGTGCAGCGGTCCGCCCAGCAGAATCGGGTCTCCACCGTACTTCACATGTCGCTCCTCGGGGCCAACAAACAGCCCAGAACCCCCATTGTCGATCTCCGCAAACCCCTGGAGCAGGGTGCTGTCGCTCCAGCTCAGGAAATCCCATAAATATTGCCCGGCCGAGTCGTCGATGAACGGCGGCTCGAACGGATCCAAAAACCCGTTCTCCAGACTCACCAAGACACCACCGCGACCGAATTCGCCCGGCGGTAATAGGCCCCCGCCTGCTGTTCCTGGCATTCCTCCGTCGCAGAGGGTCGAGCAGCTGCCGCTACTGTCGATGCTGCTGGCGGCACTGAGCAAGGCCGAGTTGCGCTTGCTAGCCTCGAACAGGCGCGACACCGCGTCCAGCGTCGACTTCGCCGTCGGGCTCCACGACTGCAGCCGCGCGAGGACGAGCATGGTCGTCTCCACCTGCGCCTGGCAGGCCTCCACGGTCGCGCGCGGGTCGTCCACCGTGCTGTCGTTCAAGAACAGCCCCAGCAGCGGAACCATGGCTGCCTGGAAGATCAGCCAGACCGCGTTCCACCCCGACATTTGGTGGTCCTGCGCCTTGGTCGCGATGTCCTGGATCGTCATCTCCGCAATCTCGCGACATCGCTCAATCGCCAGCCGCTCTTCGGAGCGGAGGACAATGTACGGAACCCGCCGCATCGCATAGCTGAGGAGGGTGGGCCGGTACAGAAGCATGCGCTGGTTGTAGTACCGCCACTTCATCACCGTCCGCGTGAACGCGATGGATTCGGAACACGGCTCGTGGTCTTTGAGGACATACGGCAGGTTCTCATACCATTCCAGCAGCTGGCTGTCCAACTGCGTCATCTCATGGAACTTGGTCAGCGGGGACGCCGCCAGCACTTCTTGGATCTGCGTCGCGATCTTGCAGAAGCGCACATTCTCCAGGAGCGGTAGAATATCCAGTACATTCCCCTGCAGCTGTCAGTACTTATCCTGCATTATCTTGGAGTAGCGCCAACCGTACCTTTTCGCGATAATGTGGCAGCTTGACAGTGATGGTCGGCCCCAGACGGCCCATGCTGGGTCGCCCGAGGGTCATGCCACCCCACGTATCCAGACAGAACAACGACCACCACACGCGGCGTTTCTGGTCCGTGGACGATTGTCTTTGTCGGCTCCCCCCATTCTGACTGTCGGAGAGCTCTTTGTGGAGGCCCAGGGCCGCTGCCATCCGCAAGGCTGCTCCCATGATCGCATATGCGAGGTTGGGCTGGCTCGTATAATGCAGATAATAGCCACCCATGAGACCTAGGGTCTGGATGGTTTCCAACTGCGAAGAACCCAGACATTCCAGATTGACGAGCTCCTTGCATTTCATAAAGTAAGTCTGATGCGACGTGTCGTGCGCCGGACAAGCTGCTATGCTGCCCAGGGCAAGGACAATGTTGAGCAACGCCAGCCACTGTTCATCGCCCCGCCGCCCGCTGTGGTAGGTCTCGCGAAAGGCCTGTTCATCTAACAATGGCACAAAGGGCTGAACGTAGGTGAAGTATGCGTCCAGCAATTGTGATTCCGACGCGCGTCGAACTTCCGGCGTCGCGAGGCGCGGCTGGAACCCATGGACCTGCCAGTTCTGGCTGCCTGGAGAAGAAGAGAGGTCAATGGATCCTCTCCGACCACCATGGGCTGGAGTGCGTGAAAGGTGGGTGAGGGATCCAGGGTCCAACCATACGATGACCTTGAGCACCGCATGTATTGAAGACACACCTAAGTATGAGGATGGCTGCTGCGCCGACAGGGACAATGCATTGACATCATCTGAGATGCCACTCGGAAACGCTGGGGTTCTCAGAGGGCGTAGAGGGTGGGTGTGATCGGGGATGGTCTGGAGGGACTCGAGATTGCCATCCTCACTAGAAGCCGGGGATGTATGGGCCTCGGCCGAGGCAGAAGTGGCCGGGGAGGCTGGATGTGGCGGCTGCGTCTGCACATGCGATGGACCCTTGCCCACCAAGTCTAACAGTTTCTCGCGTGGCAAGTTCACCAGGGTCTCCGCTGGGAATCCGGGGAACAGCTTCTCGAGCACCCCGCGGAACTCGTCCAATGTAGTCGACAATTTCTCCACGTGCCTGCATCCGCAACTGCTGGTTATTCTGTGTTCTGTGGTCTTCCAGACAAGAAAGTCAAACACACCTGCGCGACGGACGAGGATCGGAGTACTGGCACTGATCGGCCTTCTTGTACCACCTACATGCTTCGCATGGTTTTTCTCCATCGCATTTGATCTTGCGATGCCGGCAAGAAGTGCAAGCCCGAAGGGTGGTGACTCGACGGCCAACGGAGGGCTGACGCTGGTTGCGTCCCCGGGTCGGATTCGACAGTCCGGGATTCTCGAAGCCTTCGAACGTGTGAAACATGGCTAGCGACGATAAGATCAGAGATTCTTGGTGGAGTATCTGATAGACTGATAGATTGATAGTACGATAGTACGATCAAGGCATTCGATGGTAGCGTGGTCAGCTAGAAACAGCCATTGGCAACCGGTCGCAGGAAGACTAGCAAGTTCGATGCAACAGATGGCAGGGATAGCCTGTTTGCTGCTAGTGATGAGTGGCAGTAGGGAGGTGTGGAATCAGATCGATGGGGAAGGGCCCCAGTGAATTACTGCATGGAAATAGCCTAGTTCACTTGCAGTTGCAGTCGCCACTGTCCTGGATTGAAAAAGGTCGGTGGGGAAAATCGACAGTAAAAGAAAAATGCGTTGCAATATATCTTCAAGGGCAAGGTGAGTGAGTCGGACCACGAGGCGTATATTTTAGCAGCCGGAGAACAGCGATCATCAGCCCCCTCTCCCCCTCCCCTCCGGGTACAGAGAGAAAAGCATCAAGCGACATTTTCCACCTCTTCCTCCAAGAACCGACGAGGCCCTCCCTCCACCACGGTGCCTGCCTGCCCAACAGAGTCCCTGAAAAGAGATCGTCTCGTCGGGATTTCTTTTCTTCACTGGTCCGGCTCTGGCGACGCCCCCGCAATTTTCCACTTTGATTAAATCCATCATGCAGGAAGTCACCGTTTCTGTCAGGCTTCTGCATGTCTGGGGAAGAATCGGCAATCCCATGCATCGTGGGTTCTGACTGGTTACTCCAGTTCCTAAACCCCGGACCCTTCGTCCACCGGCCATGCTTGACCCTATACCAAAGGCTCGGCTGCCAGGGTTACATACGAACAATATGTATTCACTCCCACTACAGGCTCGCCAACACTCGCCCCAAAGGGTCTGTTCTTCACGGTGCCTTGGATCTGTCTCCTGTTAGCGCTTTCCCCTCTCTACGATGCACTCTGCTTGAAGTTGAGCAATGTCCTTCCACCTATCAGGGGGAGATGGATGAGCCCCCGAACTCCTTCCGTGAGAAGTCCTTCCAGTTCCGAAAGGAAGAACATCGATCTGAAGGTGGGTTGCTGGGGTCCTTCTCCAGGTCACCTGAGGAACAGCCCTGTGTGCGCAAACATTGCAGGCTCTACCACAGTAAGCGTTCGACGCACGAATTCGCCCACGTTCTTGGGGGCACCCGCATCTACCCACGTCAGGGCTGACAGTCCTTCCACGGTACTCAACCCCGAGCCGGACAAACAATCGTTATTCGCCTAGCGGGCAGCCAACCCCGTTACAGTTCTGCAGGCTGGTGAAGACCGGAGCACATCAATATATTAAACCAACAGGGGTGGCGCCACTCGATGTCCGAGCAACAACCACAAATAGGCAGAAGGACCAACTGCGTCTGACTGCGATTTCCATCGGACGTGGTCGGTGTATACCCGATTTAACAGCCTCCGTTCATCCGTGCTGCTCGAGCTTACTGCTCCTGAGTCCATTGTCAGAATCTGACGGGTGTTTTCCTTTCACGACGGCGCAGGCGACAATAGCAGGGTTCAAGAAATTTCTCATTCCAACACCTTCGCAGGGTCTGACTCTTTGGGAAACCTGTCCCCGCCAATCGCAGCTCTGACCCCGCATAGGATGACCGGCTTTGACACCCTATTTTAATTAAACCCCATGACGGGGTCGGAGTCTGTTGGCGCACCGCCGCTTAGAGTCCGTCGCCTATGTCCAATCCCGTAATTCAACTGGTCCGTGAGCTCCTCCCTGCTCCATCGTTTTCCTAGAGAATCATGAGTGGCAAAAGCTGTGATAGACTTTGGCCTCAATTCAGAGCATTTTCTGGCCCATCTGGTTGTTCCAAGCGAGTTCGATGCCGGTTGATAGAATAAGCGGCCTCACACCACTTAGGACGCTTCTGTACAGGGGTGCGTGTGATTTGACACGGATTCTGGGGTACTCGAACTGAACAGCCAATCGCAAAATAGACTCGACGCAGAGTGGCCCGCATTGGTTAGGCAAAAGTGATCAGGCTAATTGCGATGGACGCCAAGACCGCGAAATTGCTCACTCATCACATGCCGCATCGAATGGTTAGCGCTCCAAGGAGGAACCTGTCTCCATTTCCTGTAAGGTACCCCGGCATGACTGTGGAAGCAACGGGAGGCGGGAAGGGCGGAAGCAAAGTGAGAACCGAGGCACTTGCCCCGGCTGTTGAGTGTTGAGTGTTAACACCCCATGGTCCTGTAATTAGCTGCTGGGAATGTCGTTCGTTTCGCTAAGCGACAATGGTCGGACTAGTGACTGGCGTACCAACCAATAAGATTCTGGCACAGAAGGTCGCTTATTTGGTAATGGGGGGAGGGTACAAGTTCGCTTGAAATCCAGGTTCAAGGTGGTCGAGAGCGATTCAGCACAGATCAGAAGATTTACGTTCAGTTTAACTAGTGATCTTCAGGGCTGTCAGGAACAAGAATCTCCAAGCACAAGGAAGGATTTGATCAGACGGGAGACCAACCATAGCTGCGTGGAGCATCATCCGCACCTAAAGCGGTAGAGTAGGGGCAGGAATGTCGAGGATTGGTTTCAGGGAGAGGATCGTGGTTCGAAATACAGAGAATTGTCATTTTATATGCCTCCCAAGACGGGAGGGATTTCTTGTCGGGCGTGTCTTTGCACTGACTCGGACAGCGCTCAGGATATTCTTTGTCTGATCGCTTGTCTGATCACTTGGCTCATTGGAGACATTTCGACGATGAGCCGTGTTGGAACTCAAAGACTGACGGGAGGATGGTGAGACAGTGAGGATGTTGCGTGCGGAAGTGTGAGTTAGAACTTGGGGACTCAATGGAGGAGGAGGACTGTTTTGGGAAAGGAGGAGAAGCCGCCCGTCGATTGCCCGATTAGGCAATGACAGCACGTGGAATGCGGAGAGATCTCCGTGGAGCTCTCCCCTTGCTCTATACTTCCCTCATGGCATCTGAAACCATCAGATATCAGGTTCAAGATACAAAGAGTGTGATTTTCCCCTTCATTGCCAGAAAACATTCACAGGGTCATCGATCGATTCCCAATCGCTGAGCTTTCACGCATTGTTGCCATTGACCCGTCATTACCCCTCCTTGGCTTCCGCTATGGCGAGTTTCATCCAGCATCCTTTGACCACCGGATGGTCCTTCAAAGATAGCAACGAACCGGCATCTGATGCTTGGATGTCTGTTTCTAGCGTGCCGTCTGTCGTTCATCAGGACCTACAGGCGAATGGAAGGTGTGCCACCATCGGCCTCTTGGCTATCGGCAGGGTATTAACGCGGAGCACATAGATTGCAAGACCCTTACATTGGCTTCAATGAGCTCGAGGCAAGATGGGTCAATGAGAAGTCATGGTCTTACAGAAATGTATTCCAGAAGCCGACCGTCCCTGCTGGATCCAGGGTCGTTCTGGCGTTCGACGGCTTGGATACCTTTGCCACGGTGAGACTGGACGATAAAATCATTCTCGAGAGCAACAACATGTTTCTAGCACATCGCGTTGACGTCACCGAAGCCCTGGAGGCTGAGGGTGATCATGTGCTTCTTATCGACTTTGACTGTGCCATGCTGCGGGCCAAGGAGCTCCGAGAGCAGGACCCCAAGCACAACTGGGCTTCCTTCAACGGCGATCCAGCCCGACTAGCCGTCCGTAAGGCTCAGTATCACTGGGGCTGGGACTGGGGCCCAGTGCTGATGACTGCGGGCATCTGGCGAGACATTCGGCTGGAAGTATACTCTGCCAGAATAGCGGACCTCTGGACGGACGTAGATCTTGCTGCGGATCATCAGCATGCGCGGGTTGATGCCTACGCCGAGATCGATGTCACAGAGGACTCTTCCTTCCGAGCCATCTTCATCTTCAGTAAAGATGGCAAGGAGGTTGCTCGGCAGGTCACCACGCCAGACAACAAGGTCGCCAAAGTGACATTTGATATTAATCAACCAAGCCTCTGGTGGCCAAATGGTTACGGAGACCCAAATCTGTACGAGGTTTCTGTGTTCTTGGAAAAGGATCAGATTGAACTGCACCATGTCTCGAAAAAGATTGGCATAAGAACTGCAGAGGTTGTTCAGCGGCCAGACAAGCACGGCAAGTCGTTCTTCTTCCGGATCAACGGAGTCGACGTCTTTTGTGGTGGCTCGTGCTGGATTCCCGCAGACAATCTCTTGCCCAGCATCACCCGTGAGCGCTATCGGAGCTGGATTGAACTTATGGTCGCTGGTCGCCAAGTTATGATTCGGTAGGTCAGTCCATATGAACACGGTACATTTCACTTACAGCTATAGGGTGTGGGGCGGCGGTATCTACGAAGACAACAATTTCTACGAAGCTTGCGACGAACTTGGGGTGCTTGTATGGCAGGACTTCATGTTCGGCTGTGGCAACTACCCGACCTGGCCTGAGCTGCTTGAGTCGATCGAAAGAGAAGCTGTTTATAATGTGCGCCGGCTGCGGCATCATCCGTCTATTGTGCTTTATGCTGGAAATAATGAGGACTACCAAGTACAAGAGTCGGCAGGTTTGACCTATGATTTCGAGGACAAGAACCCCGAGAATTGGTTGAAGACGGACTTTCCGGCTAGGTACATATACGAGAAACTGCTTCCGGAGGTGATGGATAAACACTCTCCACGGACATTCTATCATCCAGGAAGCCCATGGGGAGATGGCAAGAAGACGTCCGATCCGACGGTAGGAGACATGCATCAGTGGAATGGTAATGCCCGTTTCTCGCTCATGTGACACCAGTTGCTGACCTACTACAGTCTGGCATGGAACACAAGAGAAGTACCAGATCTTCGATACCCTCGGCGGACGGTTCAACAGTGAGTTTGGCATGGAAGCATTCCCTCACCTCTCGACCATCAACCACTTTGTCGAGCACGAGAAGGACAAGTACCCGCAGTCGCACGTCCTCGACTTCCACAACAAAGCCGACGGACACGAACGGCGTATCGCTACCTACCTGGTGGAAAACCTGAAGACAGCTACAGACTTGGAGGTAAGATCCCCTGGCCCCACAAGGTAACCCGCGCTAATGAGACAGACCTATACCTATCTCACGCAAGTCGTTCAAGCCGAGACCATGATGTTCGGGTATCGAGGGTGGCGTCGGCAGTGGGGCGATGAGAGGCACTGCGGCGGCGCTTTGCTCTGGCAACTCAACGATTGCTGGCCGACCATCTCATGGGCTATTGTGGACTACTTCCTGCGACCCAAGCCGGCATTCTACGCTGTGGCTCGCGTATTGGCTCCGTTGGCGGTGGGCATCCGACGCGAACATCACGATTGGAGCGTTACACATGCACAGCCTCCGAAGACGAGCAAGTTTGAGCTCTGGGTTGTTAGCTCTGCTCAAGAGCAAAGGACAGGAACGGTGGAACTCAGGTTCCTCTCCATCAGCGATGGGCAGGAGGTCAGGGAAAAGGTGGTCCACGAGAACATCACCATCCGGCCGAATGGCACCACCAATCTTATCGTGGACGGTCTGATTGACTATAAGGAGTATCCCGAGCCGCACGTGCTGGCTGCCCGCTTGTGGGTAGACGGGGAGATTGTTGCAAGGGATGTGGACTGGCCTCAGCCGTTCAAGTACCTCGATTTTGCGGAACGGGGACTTGTGGTGGAGAAGGTTTCCGAGATGGCCGAGCAGCAGACGTTGAAGATCAGCGCGCAGAAGCCGGTGAAGTGCCTGGTGTTTGAGGAGAGGGATGGGGTCAAGATCAGCGACAGCGCTATGGACATTATACCCGGTGATGACCAGACTGTCACGGTCCGGGGGGTGAAGGCGGGTGACTCGCTGAAGTACAAGTATCTTGATCATTGATGATGACTGCTGCAAGAGTCGGGAACTCACTATTGTGTTGTGAATTGTGTGGCTAGGGAGAACTTACTTGGCCTGAATCAGATCAATCCTACTCTGCCTATGACAGTTGCCTCTAAAACGGGCGGGGCCCCTCCTTTGCTTCCTTTCCCTACCTCAGGAGATTGACCCCGAACAATGAATAGGCATTCAGATCCATATAATCTCTCGCTTAGACAATGTTCTCCTCAATGTGCCACTTTTCCTACCGTCCACATGCCAAGGTACAGACGGTACGATATAGAGATAGCGATCTTATCAGATAAGCGGAATCACCCCAAACCAGCAAGGCCCCACACCGCAGAAATGACATCGACATCTTCGCCGCGGCGGGCGAGCGCGTTGCATCCCTCTCTCCCCCTCCCTCTCCCCCTCTTCCCAGCTCCTCGACCCCTCCACCCCTCCTTCCCTCCATCTTCCATGGCCGGCACAAAACGCACCTGGGACGGTCAACCACTCGAACCCGCAACCATGACCTCCTCCACCGCTTCTGCGCCGGTGTCCATCCAGAGCATGTTCGAAACCTTCCGGAATGAACTCGACGAACACCACGACCGGCGCGAACGCCTAATCAAAACCAGCCGCGACATCACAGCACTCAGCAAGAAGATGTGAGCCCGCCCGCCCCCAGCCCACTTAACCCTGTCTCCTATCACAAAACTAACACCAAGCCGCAACAGAATCTTCTCCCTCCAACGGTACCTTCCCCACCCTCCCATCCCCCAAATCCCCAACAACCTAACAAACCCCGAAACGAAAAACAGAATCCGCACCCCGAACCACCCCCTCCCCACCACCATCGCCACCGAAACCACCAGCCGCTTCACGCAAATCACCAAACTCTTCGAGTCGACCCTCCCCGACCTCACGACCCTAAACCGCCACCGCTACCAGCGCCAACTCAGCGGCGCGATCCAGGAGTTCATCGAGGCGCTCTCCTTCCGCCACTACCTGACCACGCAGACGCTCATCACCCTCCCGGAAGTGCGCCGCCACCTGCCGGCGGGCATCCCGCTGACGGAGGACGATTACCTGATGGGGGTGTTCGATTTGACGGGCGAGGTGATGCGGTTCGCGGTGACGGGGTTGTCGACCGCCACCATCGAGGGCCATCATCCAGATCATACCGGTCAGGGGCAGGGGCACGGGCAGGGGGATGCGTCGATGGGCGATGATGGCGACGACGCCACGGCAGGGAAGGAGGGGGCCCCGAAAACGATCCACCTCCGGCCCGAGCAGAACGCCATCGTCGTGGATCTCCGGGCGATGCGCGCGGCCATCGAGCTCCTGAGCATCCCGCGCAGGCATGCCGCGAGCATGTTCCGGGATATCGGCCGGAAGACGGAGGTGATGCAGGGGTCGGTGGAGAAGGTGGAGCGCGCGGCGTATGGGATCTTGGTGCGCGGGAGCGAGCGGCCGAAGGGGTGGAGGCCGGATTTGGGGGGCGCGGCGGTTGAGGAAGCTTATTGATTCAGTGGCTGGGAGGACAAATTGTTGTGTGGTTGGGTGTTACATGCTATGTGTATGTGTAAGATTAGAACTGTTTTCGGAGTACTCGAGTACATCTGCCAAAGGTTAGGAGTGTGGACAGTGAGGAATAAATTAATCTTAATAATAGCACTAGCACGATCAGAACTGGTTGTACACTGCTACACCAGCAGCAGCAGCAGCAGGTACTAAATACCTACCACGAACCCAACAAAAAAAAAACGAGAATGAAATACTACGCAACTTCAAACAAACAAACAAACGCCAGCCAGCCAGCCAGCATCAACCAGACCACAAACCACAAACCACACCTCACCTAAACAGTCGGGAACCGCGGATCCTCGTCCTCCGTCAGGATGCCCTGCGAGATCAGCTCATCCGGCGCCGGCCGGCACCCGATCTTCTGGTCGAGATGATCGGCCAGCATGTGTTTCTCCAGCTCGCGGGCGTTGGCTTGCAGGGCGGGGGCGGCGGTCGACGAGGGGAGGATGTTGCCTTTGAATCACATAATAAATCAGCATCTCACTCACGGTTCGAGTGTGCATTGCATTGCACCATGTTAAGGGTTTGGGGGCCCACGCACGCTCAACGAGTTCCTCGCGGTCGGGTCGGTGCTCGAGGTGCTTCTTCAGGTCGTCGGCCGTCTGCTGGCGGGCGAGTTCCTGGCGGGCAGCTTGGAGGGATCTTTGCAGCACGATGTTAAATCGCCGTACGGTACGCTGATATTTCAACTTATGGCCTCCTGGGGGAGTCAACGTACGGAGCCACAGTGGTGTCCAGGAGAATGTGTCGTTCTTTCAGGTCCTGGACGTCCGGGCGATGCTGGAGATGTTTCTCGAGCGAATCACGACGCTCGGTGGGGGAGGCGGAGAGAGGGGTCTGGTCGATGGCGCTGGTGTCCATGGTGACGTATGTATTCCCGAGGATATCAATAGAGAGGGTGGTCTTGTTGTTGTTGTTGTTGTTGTTGCTGTTGTTGCGGGGACAAAGATGCTGTAGTAGTAGGTAGATAGGTGAAGTACTCTGGTGCAAACTTCAGGGAACTCCCGAGGTATAAATAAGTTGGTAGTCGCTTTCAGCCGGTCAGACAAGTCAACGGATCACCAGCAGCTACGTAGGTTGTTGTGCAGTTGTCAGGGCGATTGTGGTGGTGGTCAGGTCAAGTGATGGGCGAGTGGCAGGCCGATCCACGGGACCTCAGCCCAGCCAACTGGTGGCGCACGATGTCATATGTGGAGAGATCGCTATGCTCCCTACTCCTTCAAGTACAGTTCATCCACAATACGATGTCACAATGTGAGAAAAGACAAACCCCCCCCCCTTTAACCCCCATTAACCACAAATAACTCATATTGTCATTGCAGCTACCTTGATAAATATTCCGAGTATTTTTGGCCTGCTCTTCTCCCCCTCCCCCACACACCCCTCCTCCAGCCCAAAATATGCCCACAAAATCGATCGTAAAGCGAAGAACAACTGCTGTATCTGTTTTCGTAATTGCAGAGTAGAAAATGTCGAAAAGCTAGCTTCCTCGGGACATAGTCCTTTGTGCTCCGGGCTTCCTACCAGCAAATTCCTAAGAGGGAAAATGAAAGCAAACGCCTCCTCCCACTAAAGCAAAAGCGATGGACCCAGACAGCTATGCGCCTCAACAGAATCTCGAGACGTTCGAGCAACTCAGAGGACACCAGACCAAAATGTAGCCCGGTCCTCTGAAAGCCCCCTTCCCATCTGAGCGGTCATCGTTGTAGGCTCTCTCGAGACTAAGCGCTTAGATCTCGTCTACCAGTTCGGATGCCATGCCATCTGTCCAGGACCCATTCGCCTCATCCATGAAGTCACGTCGAAATCGACAGAGGTCGGACTAAAGGCAGCCCGGGTAAGGCAGAAGGACTCAATTTTGTTGCTTCATGTAACAACCGCGTCGGTCTTCATCGGTTTTGGAAAACGTGCGATTCGTCCGTCGTATGATTGACGAACCGGCCCATACGATCAAGGAACCCAGAGTTTTCCACGACCCCGGCTGTTACCACTACCACGAGTCGGGCCTCGGGAGGCTCCTCGGCGGTTGTTAGCATGGTTCCGAGACGCACCCGCGATGCCCCGTGCGGCTCCCGACTGAGTGCTCAGGTCGACCGTCGGCGTCTGCTTGGTGGGACCAAGAGAACGACTGAACGAATTTGGGTCGATGGGTTGAGTAGGGATCTCTATGGTCGCCTCGACAGGCGGGGCAACGCTTTTGACGACAGGCGTCTTGCGACTGTTGACCCCACGAGAGCCGCCGCCGCGCGACGCTCCCTTGCCCCGACCGCCACGAGGAACGAAAACGAGCTCGTCTTCGTCGCTCTCATCCTCGTAGGAAAGAAGCGATTTCGGTTCGCTGGTCGTCGCCTGAGTCTTCTCGACATATTTGCATCGGTTTTTGTACTCTCGCTCTTCGTATTGAATCGATGTTCGCAGCTGATGAATGTTCTTGACCCCAATGCCGAATTTCTGGGCCCAGAGCTGGGTCTGTGGATCGTTCGTGATCAGAATACAAGTCTTGGCGGCGTTCGAAGCATCGGGCCCTTGGTGTAGTCGCCACAGTAGCGCGCTGAGCAGCGGCCGGAGCACAGGCGGGACCGTGGGGATGGCCGACCCAGACGCAGAACGGCGATGTCCCTCGGCGCGCTTCGTCTTGTTATCCTTGGATCCTCCTTCGTTGGTTATCACCTGCGAGTTTGCACATTCGGGGCTGGTCCGAGAGCTCCGAGAAGACGGGCGAGAGGGGGCACTGTGGGTGCCGTTGGACGTGTTCGAGACTGCATCGAGTTCCTTTTTGAAGTTCAACTTGCTGAGTAGCATCTGAGAGAGGTCATCCGGGGAGGCGCCGTTCTTCTTGGGTGGTTTGCCCTTTTCGTCCGGGTGCGCCGTCGGGCCGTCTGAGACGAGTCCGTCGATCGCCTCCGGACCCTCCTCGAACTCGGGCAGGAAGAACTTCTCTGCCTCCGTCCAGTTCTCGTACTGCTCCATGGGACCCTGCAAAGCCACCCGTTCGGAAGAGATGTTGTCCTTACCGGAAGTGACCCGGTCGAGGAAACGGACAGCCTCGCGGGCATTGATGGCGACCTGCGACCCGGCTCTCTTCAGTGCATGGAGGCGTTCAAGGGCTGAGGAGGAGCACTAGATCAGTAACCGTCAAGGTGAATGAACTCCACTCGACTCACTGTACAGAGGCACGATCAGAGTGATGGCCCCGTTGGTCGTCCATTTTTTGATTTCGCTGATATTGGTGGTTAACGCCGTCTCATCCACGGCGCAGTGGAAGACCTTGCGTCCGGTCGTCATAATTGCCCTGAGGCGATCGACAGAACAGGTCGCGTTGCTTTAAAAATGAAGATACTCGCACGGCACAACGGCCCTATACCAAATAGCTAGCTTTGACGACTGCGACCGAGCCGCAGGCGTGGTTAGCGTGATGCTGGATCCAGCGAGGGAGGTTTGATTAGGATTGATGGAGGCGGAGGAATATGGGAATGTGGGGGCCCTGGCTCGCAGCCAGAGGGAGTAGTGGACGTCCCGAGGGGAGGTGGCCCCGACTTCACAGGGTATCGAAAGGGCTGACAGTTTCACTTACAATGCAATCCTAATTCGCAAAGAACGGTCATCTGCAGCATTTTGCGATTCGAATAAACGATTGTGTGAGGGAATAATGAGGCAACGAGACGAGTGAGAAGGAAGAGGAGGAAGAGGAGAGGACCTTCAGCAGCGGATCAACTCCAAGCCGCGGGATTCGTCGGCATCCTGACTAAGCGCAGTATAACTCCGCGCCGCCCGTGACTATCAGTTAGTTTGTTGTCTACGAGAATTTGGTAGTAATTTATGCAATTTGACCTCAATCTTACGACAAGCTCACTGGGAGTTGGCTAGTAAGAGTCACTAAGCTCTGACTCCCCGCAACTAATACCATTCATAGTCACCTTTACACACAAGTCTTCTATCCGGGACATTTCATCCTTTGTGTACTGTTGATGACTCGAATTGGAGTAATCTCCTGGTATGTGCTGTCGCTCGAACAAGCTGGAACAATTGAAAGAAAGGAGAGACCATCACGTCATACCCATAACCATATCTCAGACTCTGGATACTAAGCACTGGGCCGGGTCATCGTCAGTCGCATTGTCTAGACCGTCTTCTTGATCAGACCTTCTTCGGGCTTAACACGTTGTGCCCATTCACTATCGTCGGAGTCAGCAAATAGGCCATCGAAGAAAGAAGAAAGGGGTTCAAAACTCACGTCCAGCTCCCATCGTAAACCCTCCGAAGGTTTGGCTCGCCGTATTCCGCCTCAGCCAATGCCGTCTCGATGATAGTCGCCGTTACACCGGTGCCGCACGAGCTGATAATAGACTTGCTCGTGTCGATGTCCTTGCTCTCGAAAATCTTGCGCAGCTCGGGCCCGGGCAGGAACGTCTTGGTTTCGGGGTCCAGCAACTCCTGGAACGGAAGGCTCTTGGAGCCCGGGATGTGCCCTGAAGACAAGCCCGGGCGCGGTTCAGGGTCGGTGCCCGCCCAGCGGCCATAGGACCGTGCATCAAGGATCTCCACTTCTTTCGCACCTTCCTTTCTGTGTTCCTTGGCGATCTCTTTCAGCTCCCGGTACGGGATCACCAGCTTCGAGTCGTACGTGGGGACAGGGTAGTTGGTCTTCTCCGGCTGCTGTGGCTCTCCGGTCTCCGTGGGGAAACCCTCAGCAACCCACAGTTTGTAGTTGTTCAGAACATGAACCCGCGGGTGTCCGAAGACTCGAAGGGTCCAGCCAACACGAGGCGCGCTGAAGATGCCGACCTCCGCGGAGTCGTAGACCACCACTTCGTCGTCCCGGCGAATCCCCAGCTCGCTCATGGCTTCTGCGAATGTTTCGGCGGTGGGAAGCATGTGCGGGTACGGAGATTCATGGTCTTTGACAGCATCGAGGTCGAAGAAACGAGCTCCGGGGATGCGGTGGTTGCGAAAAATGTCGATACCTTTGCGACCCTCGGGGTCATTCGGCATGAACCAGGCGGCGCATAGAGGGACTACGCGTGGGGCGGTCGAGATCTTTGTCGCTGGGTTCTTTTTCAAGGCAGTGTCCAACTCTTTAGGAGTTACCAGGTATGAAGCAAAGGAGTAAGGGCGACTCTGGAATTGCTGGCGCGCTTGTTGTGAGAACGACATTGTAGAACGGACCAGGCGAGTCGGTGAAGGGATAGAGTTACGAAGAGCTGCGAAAGCCATATTGAAAGAGTAAGGAAGGAAGTGGAGGAATGAGGGTATTTACATGCCGGTTAGGACTTAGGAAGTGGGATTATTCATCCACCAGCTAGAGCAGGGGAAATGATAAACGAGATGAGGAGGGGTTGATGATGAGGGCGTGTGTGCGGAGTAATGGAGGAGGAGGAGGAATGAATGAGTTGACTTCCTATCACCGATGCGGAGAGCGGCCGACCATGTGAAAATCGACCGGGTAAACAATCCCGCTTATCGATTCCACTTTCCTTCCTCCTCCCAGTTTTGCGTCTGCGTCCTTGCTTCCACTGCTCTGGTCTGGTGTCCAACCCAAGTGCAAGCTCGAGCCCAATTCAATCATGAAGGTCACTATCAAAGAGTGGAACGCCGTCGCGACTTGGCGCTGGGATATGCCCGACGATGAGGTCTGTGGTATCTGCCGCGTTCAGTTCGATGGTACCTGTCCGACCTGCAAGTTTCCTGGCGACGATTGCTCTTTACGTGAGATCTCTTTCTTCTTCCCCGTTATCGGAGCACTTTCAACTTATCTGATGCACAGTGCTTGGGAAATGTGGTCATTCCTTTCATATGGTGCGATTGCGGATCCCAATGTCCTCATGGCGCAAGCGAGACACTACTGACTGAACCCAGCACTGTTTGATGACATGGATCCAGCAAGAGTCCTCCAAGGGGCTCTGTCCCATGTGCCGGCAGAGTAAGTCATTTTCCAATGCGTTCTTTTTCTGAGTATGCACTTACGCTTCACCTGCAGAATTCGAATGGAAACAAAATGACGAAGAACAACAACACCAACAACAACCACAACAATAGTTGATGAAGGGCCATCTGCTGGTTATTCGAGAAAGGCGTTGACAGGATCAGCTACTATGATACCCATTCCATTCTACCTGTTTGAATCACTCGTTGTTATATGCATTTCTGCTTCTCCTCCTCATTCATGTACATATACCCCTTCACCCCTTCCCGCAATCATCCTAAGCAGTGATTACAATGGCCGATCGGATCACCTGACCGGTCTTATCCAGCTTTATCGATAAGAGCGTAACACAGCCAATCGTCCGAGCCCTTGTGCTGTCAGCTCTCCTTCAATACGACCCTGAGCTCTCCATCCCGAGTCACCAATTCAACCCACCCACCCTCGAACATCCACACCACAACCATGATGTAGCCTCAGCCATCCTCTCTCCCCTTATTCCTCTCTCCCACCAAAATGTCTCTACCCAAATACACCACCCCCTCCCCCCTCTCCTCCTCCCCCTCCAAACAATCCATCCGCCGCATCTCCGTCAACCACCCCCCAACCTCCCGACCCCAAAGCATCATCGACCGACCGCCAACCGCGCAACAACAACAACAACACCTCGAAAACATCCCCTCCCCACCACCACCAGCAACCACGATCCCACCCGCACCCCTCCCCAACCAACCCACAATCCCCTCAACATCCTCCTTCCAACCCTTCTTCACCCTCATCGAAGACGCCAACACCGGCGAACACCACCACCCAACCGTCCACTACATCTTCGCCGACGACGACACTGACATCGTCACCGAAGCCACCCTCCGCGCGCTGGAGAGTGAATCCGATCCGACCCTCGCCTACAATCCCAATTCCCGAAAGGGCCACCACCACAACAAAAGCAGACCGCGTCGACCGCAGCAGCAACAACAACAACAACAACAAGAAGAAGAAGAAGGCCCAGGGCCGGAAAGCACCTACGAAGATGAGGAGAAACCCTCCCTGCTCCCGGATTCCATCCCGGGGGTGCGCGAGCACTACGTGATTCTTGACGTGGACTACGCGGGTGGTCTGCTGCCGGCGGCAGCGGAGATGAAAGAGCAATCCGGGAATACTACTGGCGGTGAAGTGCTGGCGACGTCGCCTGCGCCGCCGCCGCAGCAGCAGGCACATCAAGGCGCTCCAGACGATAAGTCAATGGTGGTGACGTCCGCGCATAGTCTCTCGCCGGCGTGGCAGGTGCTCGATACGCAGCTGGGCCCGGCGCCGACGTTCGAGAACAATACGAATAATACGCCGTCGCAGGGGCAGGGGCAGTCGGTCAACGGGGGCCTGATGTTGAAGATCCGGGGCACCGCGGGGTTGCCGATCAATAATTTGCTGGGCAAGGATCATCGGGACAAGGAGCGCGGCTGTCAGCGGTTGGAGGAGATGATGGATCAGTTCGCGAAGCGGTTGACGGAGCTTCGGTTGGTGATTGAGGCTGGCGGGCAGGGGGAGCTCATCGAGGATGTGGAAGCGGACTCGGCGCTGCCTGGGGATGAAGGGAAGATGGTTGAAGAGGGGGTGGATCAAGGACAGCAAGATAATGGACAGGGTTTGGGTGAAGACACTACGGCTGGAAAAGAGATGGGACTATAGGCTTGGCCGATGGAACATCCTGGTACTACCTTATGAGTTGGAAACATATCGGCTCGGCGAGATGCCTTGTAGCGTATGGCGTCACTGTCTAGCTGTAGGCTTTAACCCATTTACTCGGTTTTTACACTGAATTTGGAATAATGCTGGCAGCTTCAATAAGTCCATGACTGTAGAATTCTATCACGTCAAAGCCGGGTATCTTCTCATCCCGCGGGAGACCTATACGAGAACAAAACGCCAGGCACCAGAGAGCCCGCAAGAAACAATGCTCCAATCGCGAACAGACAATCGCAAAACAAAAAACAAGCAAATACCGTCTCCAGATGTATCTTAGCCAAGACCAGGGGTATCTCAAAACGCCTGCCGCAAGGTACAAGCGAACAGTGTGCTTCTGCACAGCGAGTAAAAACATGATAAGATCAAGGAGAAGGCCGATTTCGAAGTCTTCTGCCACTCGGGGTTTCCACGGGTGGTACATTCTCTGGGCCTTCCATGATTCCGGCCATCTTCCGGTTGAGTAGTTTCGGAGGTAGTTTGGCGTCGGCGGTCGTGGTGCTTGAACAACGTCTCTTGGGAGGCGGCTGCTCTCCATCAACACAGTCCGCATCAACTCCCACGCCAGAGGACTTGCGCGTGGCCTTGTCATCGGCCGCACTAGTTACGAGGGCCTTGGCGGCGACGTTTGCATCGACCTCCCTAAGGCCACTGTTGGAAGGCGTGACGTTGGTCTTGGGTGGTAGAGATCCTACCTCGTCCTCGGTATCGTGAAAAACGAATCCTTTCGCTGGGGTGGTAGCAGGGGAGCTATCAAGCACTAAAATTCGGTCTTCGCCACTGAAAGGAAGAGCCGTAAACTCCCTAGAGGTCCTCAACCTTGATTTGATGTTTTCATGTGCCTCAGTGCGAGGCAGGTCCGCCGGATAATCATAGTGACGCTTCTTGGGGGTGATGCCAGTCGCAACGTACTCAGCAAATGCTCGGCGTTGAATGTGTTCGCGAAGCTCCAAGAGCGACTTCCTCACATCGTCTGACAACGGCATGGCAGACTCTTGTAGATTGGTCTGCTGCTGGATGGTCCCTTCCTGCAGCTCCTGGAGACGACTGCCCAAGTCCGACAATTGCGTATGGACCGAGTCATATGAGTCGTGCACGTTGGAGGACATGTTGTGGAGGCTTGAAAGATGGGCGTCTCGGTAAACACCGTTCTGAGAGCGTGCCTTGGCTACGAAATCGTCCAAAGCTTCCATCTGTTTACTCATATTCTTCATCTGAGCATCAACGATTCGAACGGTTTCTTCGTGCACCGCCTCAGTTGTCTTGTGGATAGATGCGTTGCGTTGTTCGAAACTCTGCAAGGTGATCAGTATTGATATTATTGAAGAGAAATGACACGGCTTGGAACTTACCTCCCAGTCGCTCTGCATCTTCGTTTTCATCTCATCCTTAGTGGCAATCACATCCTTGGCGAATTGCTCCGACTTGAAAACCCATTCATCGACCTGGCGATCATAATGAGCGGTCGCATGCTCCAGGGAGTCACCCGAAGCAGAGAGCTCAGTACGCATCGTGTCGATCCTGCCCTTGAGACGGCTACACTGCCTTTGGCGGGAGTCCTCAATGAGAGATTTCACTTGAGAAAGCAGGAGATCACGCTCAGCCTCTGCATTCGCATTCTCCTCTTCCAGAGTCTGTGCCAAGTGCGATGAGACCTTGCGATTCGCCTCGACCGCTTTCTGATTGGCATCCTGAAGGTCCAATCTCAGCTTGTTGATCTCCACTCTTTGTCCGTTCAATTGGGCCACCATTTCCTCGAACACAGATTTGAGGTCCTTTCCAAGAGTGCTGTAAGATGAATGAAGCTGGGCATTGAAATCCGCGAATTCGCCAATCACCTCCTTGGAAATGCGAGCGGCAGCGGCAGACAGGCCATTAAGACCTTCACCAACTTTACCCTTGACCTCTTCGCGCAAGTCTTTGATCTCTTCAAGTACCTCGTTCATTTCGTCATGGGCAGCGCATGTTTGAGAATGGGCCTCCCGCTCTGCTTTGTCAAATAGATCATTGGTCTCTAGCAGCTGCGATTTGTTCAACTCGATGTTCTCAATCTCACTCGTAACGAACTCGTTGATTTTGTTCGACATGGCTTCAACCAGCTCGGAGTGCTGCATCTGGAAGTCCTCGAGTCTGGAATCGACCACCTGGGTCACGTCTGAAACCTTGGCCGCAGACACCTGCCAAGCTTCCTTGTTAGCAGTGTCCAGATTGGTTTTCCTTTCAATCTTTGCGTGAAGTCCATTGATGTCCGCGACAGTGGTATCCAGGGTGGAAAGCAGACCAGCCCCAATGTCGCGAAGGTGAGCCTCTGTGTGTTCGTGCGCCTTACGGAGTGTTTCTTCTTCTTCGAGTTGCGATTTGGTATCCTTAAGGACAATCTCAGTCTGTTCGAGGACATCGTTCGTCTTCTTCAGTGCATTCCGTGTCTCTTCATTGTTCTTTTTGAGATCGTTGAAATTGCTCGTAAGAGAGAAAAGCTCCTGGACCTTGTGGCGTAGGCTAGACTCCATAGACTCAATCTTCGCGCGTTGTTCCTCGTTGACAATCCTGCGAGACTCGCTCTCCATGGTCATCTCTTCGTATGCATCAACACTCATATACACGCCATTCCGATGTCTCGTGGCAATAAGCTCGCCTTTCAGCTTCTCGATCTCAGTTGTGAATTCTCGCAGGAGGGTCTTTTTCGGCATGGTTGAGTTAATCTGCGGTTTGTTGCGAATGTTCTTGGCCCGGAATGCATAGTCCAATGTCGAAATCGTCTCTTCCAGGTTGCTGCGCGACGGCGAGATTGTCGCAATGATACATGTCTTGGTTCTTCCACCGAGTGAATCTTGCAAGAGACGAGTGAGTTTCGATTCTCTATAGGGGATGTGAGGGCTTTTGTCGACCAGGGCATTGATGACCCGGCCCAATGTGAGCAGACTCTTGTTGATAAGACCAGCTTCTGCCGCACGCTTGTTCTCCGCTCCACTGCGCTGAATGTTCTCGCTACCAGCCAGATCGACCAAATTTAATTTTCCAGAGCTAATGTACTCTTCGCCGGACTCCGTTGTCCGTTTCGTCATCACGGTAATTGTGAACACTGTATGACTTCGGGAACTCAGATCGTTGCATTTGGTGGCGGCAACTTGGCGCTTGTGGCTACCTTCCTGGAGAAGTTTGATGCCGGCGGACGCAGAGTCGATGAACGTTTCTTCCATTCCCTGTACGAGCGTACTTCCACTGTGACCTTTCCTTGACTCATTTTCGAAGATCTTCAGTCTGGGGTTCTCTTCGGCCGAGAGTAGGTCGCGGAGCTCTTCGTTGTAGAGCTCGATGAAAGAACATTTGACGGTACTTTCTGTGTCCTGCAGCTTGTGAAATAAGGAATATAACACACGAGGTATGATACCGGCATTATCGGATAGTATGCCCAGCGTGTCGGTCATGTCGCCGGACATTGTATAGGTCTTTCCGGTTCCTGTCTGTCCGTACGCGAAAATGGTGCAGTTGTAGCCAGCGAGCATCTCGTTGACAATCGGTATCACGACATCCTCGTAGACGGTGATTTGATCGGCAGCCGCTGAGAAGACCTTGTCGAAGGTGTAAGTCTTGTTGGCCAATGCATTTGGGCCCATCGACAATTGTACGGTTTGTCCTTTGGCGCCTTCCGTGGACACTACAACGCCGCTGTTTTCCTTGAGCTCTCGGTCATTCCGGCCTCTGCATCGGACGACGACATGGATGCTCGTATCTTCGTTGATCTCGCGCTCGAAGTCTCGTTCTTTCCGTTTCGCGGTAATGCTGGCAGGTTCGACTGCTGATTTCGTGGCACGCGACGCACTAGATGAGGGCACCTTTGATGCTATCGCTGGAGATGCCGCTCTGTCCGTGGTCGACATTGTAGACCCGAGTCTTCTGGTGGTGGGGCGCGTCGCTGTCGCTGTTCGTCTGGTCGGCAGCCCTGAGGCAGCCCGAGGGGGGCCAGCCATGATGATTTAGATGATGTTATCCAAAGTGATACAGCCGTAATCTATGTCAGTAGTCGCGCCCCAAGCTGAGTACTGCAGAATTAGCTTGAAAGGTGCGCACCAACATAGGCGGTGGTCGGCGAATTTTGGTTCAGGAGGTGCTGTCAGTCAGTCAGTTGGTTAGTTCTCCGCTGTTATTGATTTCCCATCTCAAAGCGGAAAATGTAAACAAAGCGGCTTCACCGCCCACGTGCCGGCGGGATTGCTCGTCATGCCCCCGTCTCACATGATAGCATGCGTTCATTGCCCGCTTCGTGCTCCTCCTGACAGTCCTTATCATTGTTCCTCTCCTGGAACAATTTTGTTTCTGCATTATCACTCAGATTATCTTGACACGTAGTCCTCTCAACTTCATCTTGAAACTTTCGGTGGTTGTGCTCCGGTGCAGCTGGCAACTCTTAACACCTTCTTTCAAAGATACATATACTAGTCCGACCCGCACCTCACCGTCTCCGCCTCAGCATGCAGTTGGTCTACTTTCCATCATGACTTCTTCTTCCAGGCCTTCACCACAAGCTCAGATCTACCCTGGGAAAGGGTTGGGGTTTATAAGCATGTCGAACCCTTGTATTTGGTTCAAACACTACTAACCTGCGTCTGTATAGCTCTGGGAGCCTCCCTCCACAATGTGCTCAGCCGCGTCAAGTCCCATCCCCAGACGTACCCCGCAATAGATATCGCATATTCGTCCTCGGAACCTCTACGGAAACCCGTCACTCTACAACTTCCATCCAGCGGTCTCCGCCTGCGGTTTGATGGTCCAGATCAGAGGTTGCGGCTGATTGAAGTGCTTGACTTCTCCAAGATCACACTCGTCTACAAAAACCAGGAGGTGCTGAAAGGTATCAAACTGCAAGAGCCATCCGTCCCGCAGCAGGGGCCCAACTTTCGACACATTTATAATCGTTTGTTTGGTCCCTCGTATCCTGGAGAATACATCCCTCCCGACAGCCCCCAATCGCCGTATGGTACCTACGTGCTATCCTATCCCGGCGTCGCATTCTCCTTCCCGCTTCAGAACTCAGCATGGTCGGACCAGTGTGACTTTGTAGCATTACTTTCTTCATCGGCTGCATTACCCGCAACCTCGATGTCCATTTTCCAAGGATCCTCATGGCCAGAAGCTCGGAACAAATTGTTTACACAGCAGCCCCAGTACCCCCGTTCCCCAGCGCTGGTCGGTAAAAGCAGGGAGGTCGTGCCGGATGAGATCGAGGAGTTTCTAATCTTCGGAGCTGGCAAGATCGAGGCAATCCGACGATCATCACCGCCGGCTCAGATAACGTTGTCAGAAACCACCCCGCAGGATCTGATTGCCGAGTTCGGGCCGCCGGATGCAATATACCGTAAGAACGATCGCAGAATAGCTATCCATCGCGCCGCAGGCCGTAGCGCTGGAGAGGACTCTCTGCACATGGGCCCATCTTCCGGTCGCGGAATCGATGTCACAGACCTTGATCATTCGTCTAACAACAGTGTGACCGACGACTCGGATGACGAGATTACCCAGGCTCCCTCGCTGGATCCTTCCTCTCTTCCGAGCGAATGCTTCTTCAATTACTTTCATCATGGCTTTGATGCCTTCATCTCGTACCCAACCGCATCTGGCCCTGCCTTCCCTGGATCTGACCTCCCGGATCCGACCCCGCCTTCGCCGTCTTCCCAACTGGTGGTGACCAAGATAATCCTGCATGGAAACGTGCCAGGCTCGTATCCGTTCAACCGGCACCGTCGCAGTCGCTGGAAAATCATCCACAACCCATCCGCCGACGCCCTCACATCTGAGACTCGCTACGAAGAGATCTCGGAGCAACTGCGTTCAGTCTGGAAGGGTGCCTATGCAAATGCCGCGGAGGAGCGTGCTCTGCAAAGACCCATGATCTTGAACCGTGGCTGGGGCGATAGTCCGGAAAGCAGTGTCGAGTTCCTGGGCGGATGGGAAGAAAGCACCGGTAAGGGACAGAGGACCGGGCAAGAGGCCCATGATGGAGGTTTAGGGAACACAGAGCTGTTTGGTTTTCCGGGCCTTTTGTTTGAGGTTATGAAGAACGGGGCAGTGAGCTGCCTGACATTGTATTGACCGAACCATGAAGGCGTTGGCGTTCAAGTGAGCCTTGTATATGTTTTTCATTCCATTTTCAAATGACTACGAGCAACATGCTGGAAGCAGCGGGCGGGTATTAATTGATATTGACGTAGGCTTGACAATACACACTTGACCTGGAAATAGAGTCTTTGATTGGCTGGACTCACCAGGGTTTCCGTACCTGTAATTAGTAAATTACCCGCACCGGAGCTTTCCCAAAAGTCCGCAGCCCGGCATCGACTCGCAACCCTCCAACAGTCTTTCCTCGTAACCAAGCCTCACAAAGAAGGCAGGATATGATTCGACAATAGTATGGCGGAATTGCCACGGACGCTCGCTCGGTCCTGGTCGTCGACGCTCAAGCTCCCCAAGTCGACGTTCCCCGCCCGCGTGACGCCGGCCGACCAGGCCAAATACCTGCGCCGATGCACCGACGACCTCTACGCCTGGCAAGAGCGTGAGCGCCCGGCCGACCGGCCGTTTGTGCTCCACGATGGACCGCCCTACGCGAACGGCGAATTGCACGTCGGCCACGCGCTGAACAAGATCACCAAGGATATCATCTGCCGCACGCAACTGGGGCTGGGGCGGCGGGTGCGCTATGTGCCGGGCTGGGACTGCCACGGGCTGCCCATCGAGCTCAAGGCCCTCGAGGCGCAGAAGGAGCTTCAGAACGCGGACGGGACGACCGCCGTCAGCGCGGCGGTGATCCGCAAGGCGGCCCGCAAGCTGGCGGACAAGACGGTCAAGGCCCAGATGAAGGGCTTCCGGAGCTTCGCGGTCATGGCCGACTGGGCCAACCACTGGAAAACGATGGACCGGGCCTTCGAGAAGCGACAGCTCGGCATCTTTCGCGCGATGGTCGAGAAGGGGCTCATCTATCGGCGCTTCAAGCCGGTCTACTGGTCCCCGTCGACGGGCACGGCCCTGGCCGAGGCGGAATTGGAATACAAGGAGGACCATGTGTCGACCGCGGCGTTGGTCAGGTTCCCGCTCGCGCGGATCCCGGCGCATCTCGCCCAGGATCCGTTGCTCCAGGGGAAGGAAATCAGCGCGGTGATCTGGACGACGACGCCGTGGACGCTCCCGGCGAACGCCGCGATCGCGGTCCACGAGGCCCTCGAGTACACGATCGTCGAGTCGGAGACGCACGGCCACCTGCTCATCGCGCAATCTCGCTTGGAATACTTGGAAAGCGCTCTGAAGGAGGATCTGTCGGTCATCGTACCGGCGATCCTCGGTTCTCAGCTGGCGGATCAGACTACGTATCGACCTCTGTTCAAGGGAGCGGCTGCGGAGGCGCAGCCGATCATCGCGGCGGAGTTTGTGACCGCGGACTCTGGGTCTGGACTGGTTCACTGCGCTCCGGGTCACGGTATGGAAGACTACGAAGCCTGTCTCTCTCGTGGGATCTCTGCTTTCGCGCCCGTGGACGATCATGGCAGGTTCACCGACAAGGCGATGCCCGTGGATCCCGAACGGCTCCGCGGGAAAAGCGTCCTCGACGAGGGTAACGCGGCAGTGCTGGAATATGTCGAATTTCAAGGTCAACTTCTCACGCAGCATAAGTACGAGCACAAATATCCGTACGACTGGAGGTCTAAGCGCCCGATCATCATCCGAGCTACCGAACAGTGGTTTGCTGACGTGGCCGACATTCGCGGCCATGCTTTGGAAGCGCTGAACGACGTGAACTTTGTTCCGAGTTCCGGTCGGCAGCGCTTGGAGAACTTCGTCAAAAACCGCAGCGAATGGTGCATTTCTCGTCAACGTGCCTGGGGCGTCCCCATCCCTGCTCTCTATCACCGGGGCACTGGCGAGGCCGTGCTCACGAAGGATAGCGTGACTCATATCATGAAGGTGATTGAGGCGCGTGGCATTGACGCATGGTGGACGGATGAAGCCAACGATGACGCGTGGGTTCCATTATCGCTCCAGGACGCATCTGGTCCGGGCTATCGACGAGGAACCGACACGATGGATGTGTGGTTTGACAGTGGCACCAGCTGGTCCGAAGTGGATGTTCCTTACCGTGAGGATGGCCGCCCGGCAGACGTGTACTTTGAAGGTAGTGACCAGCACCGAGGCTGGTTCCAGTCCGGGCTTCTCACCTTCGTCGCTCATCAGCTTGCCTTGGGACAGACCGCTTCCCCGCGTGCGCCTTTCAAGCACCTCATCACCCACGGATTCACCCTGGATGAAGAAGGCCGCAAGATGAGCAAGTCTATTGGCAATGTGATGCTGCCGCATTCGATCATGGACGGATCGCTTTTGCCACCCTTGAAGCCGAGAAAAGGCAAGGGGAAGAAGCAAGCCGAAAACCAGGCTCCGGTGTACGACGCCCTTGGGCCGGATGCTCTCCGCATGTGGGCAGCCAGCAGTGACTACACGCGCGACGTAGTGATCGGAAAGCAGGTGCTTCAAACCGTGCACACCAGCCTACACAAATACCGCGTGACTTTCAAGCTCCTGCTGGGTGCTTTAGCTGATTTCCGCCCCGAGCATTGTATTCCATACGATGAGCTGCTACAAGTGGACCGCATCGCCTTGAAGCAGTTGTCTGAGATGGTTCTGAGCTGCCAGAAGGCCGGCCAGAACTTTGAATTCTACAAGGCCGTGAACGCGATCAACCGCTGGGCCAATCAGGAGTTCTCTGCCTTCTACATGGAGGCTATCAAGGATCGTCTCTACACCTACGGCGAGAATAGCGCGAGCCGGCGTGCTGCGCAGACGACGCTGTTCCACATCTACCGACATCTCCAGGAAGTCCTGGCGCCCATCACCCCCATGCTTGTGGAGGAGACGTGGGAGCACACCCCTGAGGCGATCAAGACGCAGAGCCAGCATCCTCTGCAGCGCATTGTCTCAGCCCCGGCTGCGGAATGGCAGAACGCGGGTCTCGAATCCGACTACCAGGAGCTTGTCGCCGTCAACTCCGTGGTCAAGGCGGTCCAGGAAAAGGCCCGCGGCCAGAAGCAGCTGGGCTCCTCTCTCCAGTCGTTTGTGCACATTGTTCTTCCCGAAGACGCGACGCCCGCGTCGGTGTTCCACCGGGATCTGACCGAATTGCCCGATTTGTTTGTGGTGTCGTCCGTCAGCCTCGGTGTTCATGGGGAGCCGATCCCCGAATCGATCGCGCAGGCGGAATGGCAGTACAGTGAAGGATACGAGCTCCCCAGCGGAGCCAAGGGAACGGTGTATGTGTACAGTCCGCAGGCGGGTAAATGTCCTCGGTGCTGGCGCTATGTGGTTGCGGAGAGTGACGCGGCGGAAGAGACGGTGTGCGGTCGCTGCGAGGGAGTCGTGCAAGAACTGGACGCTGCAGCTGCAGCTGCAGCTGCGACTGTTGAAGTGTGAGTGGTCATTCCTGGATTCCTGGATTCCTGGATTCCTGCAGTGGATTCCTGTATTATAAGTTACTGTGTAGTTAGTTTAATTTTAGCATCCTGCTCCAAATCGTACACATGAAGTGTAGTTAGTACTCATGCCTTATGTAAGTCACAGCGGACGATTCTAGATCGGTCTTGCGGTCTTGCGGGGAATCCTGCAGCGCTTATTGGTGGTGAGGGGAATAACGTCATGGCCATCACGACAGTCAGTCACTGCCTCGAGTCTCAATGTGTTGACCGTAGCTACAGTCAATGACTGGTAACATGAATCAGGCAACATCCTTGGAACCACCTGGAGCCACCAGTCGGAGAGTCGGAGCTCTGCTGATTAAAGGATGACTTCCAAGGTTCTCTGTGACACCTTTCCCCCTCCCTGGCATTCGTTTCTGATTGGATTCCTTCTTCAAACCTCGACTTCCATGACGACAGCAGCGAGGTCAGCATGACGATTGCTGCTTGCAATGGTTTCAGGAAAAGGAAAGCAAAAAAGGGCTGGTGCTGGACTGCTGCTTCCTCGTATATAACGTATATAACGTTCATAACCTCCACCTTCCTTCTCCCTGCCTCTTTATCCCCCGCATCCTCTTATCGATAACCATCACTTATCGCTCTCCATCCTCCAACATCACCACCACCACCAACAACAACAACACCATCATCATCATCGCAGACTGCCAGCTGCTAAACATCCTCACGATGATCGAGACCTTCCTCAAGGACACTATTCCCGGGGTCACTTCCACCTCGACTGTGGCGCCCATTCCCACCGTCGTCCCCGGTAATGAGCCCATTTTCCAGGAGATCCACGATACTGGCAAACGCACATTATGGTTAGTCTTCCTCATATAGAGGCTCCAAGCTCAGCTTCTAACGGTACTCTACCATCTGAACAGGGTTGTCACCGTGCTCATGGCCCTTTCCTCCCTGGTCTTCTACGTTTTGGGAGCTCGTGTACCACTGGTAAGTTCGTTGACAACCTCAACCCCAAGTATCCACCAGCTATCTCGACGTCACCCAAGTCATGTCAGTTACTCGCTAACTCTTAACCAAACAAAACAGAGCAAGCGCGTCTTCCACACCCTCGTCTCCCTCTCCGCCACCATCTCCTTCATCATCTATCTCGCCCTCGCCACCGGCGGCGGCATCACCTGGAAAGTCGACACCGTCAAACTGCACAACAAGCATGTGCCCAACACGCACCAGGACTACTTCCGCCAGGTGCTGTGGCTGCGCTACGTGCTGTGGTTCCTGACCGAGCCGCTCAGCCTGATTAGCTTGAGTCTGCTGTCCGGTCTTCCCGGTGCTCACCTGCTGGTGGCCATCGCCGCCGACTTCGTCATGCTGGGCTCGGGTCTGCTGGGCACCTTCGCCGGCCACACCTCGCGCCGTTGGGTCTGGTTCACCATCAGTGCCATCGGCTACCTGACGACCGTGTACCACATCAGCGTGAACGGGGCCCGCGCCGCCAGCAACAAAGATAACCAGACCCGCAAGTTCTTTGGAACCATCTCCGGCGTGACTCTGTTGGTGAAGGTTCTGTTCCCTGTGTAAGTGCTACGAGGGCCAGGTCTTGTGATGAAAATGCATGCTAATAACGAATGCGTGTAGCACCATCGCCGCAGGCGCCTTGGCTCTGAAGATCAACGTCGATGTGGAGACTATTTTGTTTGCCATCTACGATATCTTCTCCCAGGGGCTGATCGGATACTGGCTGATCATTGCTCACGACAGTGCTCCGGGAATGTAAGTGCTTGCCATCTTCCCCTGTATGTTCAAGAGCTAATCATGGACGGTAGTACTCTCAACGTGGACGGCTTCTGGTCCAACGGTATCGGCAACGAGGGCGCCATCCGTATCGGTGAGGATAACGGAGCTTAAATTGCGTCAGAGTTGTATGTCTCTCGAGGAGAGTGAGTGACAAGTGTTGATGGAAGTTCCGCTGGGGGTTCAAGTTCGGGAGGCAGTGAGACCAGGAGGGGTTTAATATGACTGAGCGCTGGGCGCATCCGTTTGGCATTACCACGTAACGGATCGTTTTGTGTTTCCGAACTTATGGTTCTAATATTGTGGACGGAGGATCGAAGTATGGAACGGGATAGTATGCTGCTACCATGCGCATCGGATAGCGAAGGAACGAACATTCTGTATGTTTTATGACCATTGTCGTTCGCAATTGGGGGTTGAGCTGTGGAAATAATCAAACCAAGCAACTGATTGTAATCAAGTTTAATCAATGCTGTACCAGTGAGGTTGATATGATTGTCTTTTTCTACATTCTCCACCCGCGCATTCTTACCCTTACAGTATCACCAACGTGGGACTTCATGTGTGACGAGTGACAGATTACTGATTCCTATCTTTCTTTGATTTCGAGATTGATTACATTTTCATTATGATTTCCAGATTACATTCTCATTATGATTACACATTCCAGTTTCCGTATTTGCATTAGCCCCAGTATTCGCACCATTAGACATTACCAATCGTTAGACTCTTCTATCATCATGCCATTTTCGAAAACCGCCACCTTTTTTGCGCCAAGCCAATTCATAGAAAAGGAAAAGAAAGCCGTCAACAAACTTTCTCTGAAGAGAGGACCGTGTGCATGACCACAGCTGACCACCAGAAGAAACGCCCCCAAGGAATACTGGCGCCCGCTCGCTCAGGAAAGAAATCAAGAAGATGAACTGCCAGAAACGCATAGCGAGCAGTCCTAGTCCTAGTCCTAGTTCTTCGTCTCCGGTCGTTTACACTTCCTCGGCGGGAGCAGTAGTATCAGCAGGAGCAGGAGCAGGAGCAAGAATATCACCAACCCCCGCACCCTCTTCCTCAGCCCCCTCCCGCCCCTCTCCACCCTCACCAGTAGCCACCCCCAAGCCACCCTCCGGAACCACCTCCCGCAAACACTGCGGCCCAGTAAACGGCATCTCCCCGACCTTCCGTCCGCCGCGCAGCTGCACGACCTTCAGCTCCGTGCGCAGGTGCACGCGGCGCGCGACGACGGCCTCGTCCCCCTCCGCCGGCCCCAGCCGGCGGGGGAACAGCACGGAGACGCGGTGCATGGCCTCACACAAGTAAAACCCGGCGTCGACGCAGAAGTCCTTGAAGTGCAGGCACTTGAGCCGCGCGGGGTCGAACCAGAGCAGGATGGGGTCGGCGTCGACGACGAAGCCCGTCAGCGTCAGGGTGCGGAGCGAGAGCCGGTTGCGCGTGGGGCCGTGCACCATCGCGCAGACCTTGGCCTTCTCCAGGGCGAGTTTGTCCAGGTATTCGCCTTCGCCGATGGTGCGGGGGAGGGTGCCGGCGCCGGTGCCGCTGGGTTGGATTTGTTAGTTGGTTTTTTGGGGGGGTGAAGAGGCATGGGGGGATGGGGGTGGATGCTTGGGGTTAGGGGATTGGGGCAACGTACTAGTAGACAGGGGCACTGTAATGGGTGGGATTCATCGTCCAGCCGCCCTTGATGCATGGCCAGACTCCGGTGAAGGACCGGCGGAGGCGCGGCTCGCAGACCATGCTGAGCTCCAGCTCCTCGAGGCCCGTGTTCAGCCACGCCGCTTGCCAGATGTATTTTTGGTACGACTGCACCATGCCTGTAATCTTGAGGGAGCGGAGGTGGCGGAAGTGGATGAGCGGGAAGAATTGCTCCAGCGCGAGGATCTCGACTTGCTCCTCTACTTCATCGTCTTCGTCTTCTTCCTCCTGGGCTTCCTCGCCGTCGTTCGGGTCTTCCGTCTGCGCGGTGGACTCCGCTGCGGCGGCGGTGGTGGTAGATGATGTGTTAAGAGGCAAGTAGACATCGATCCCCAACGAACGCCGGTTCTGCGGGAAACGAGCCCAGGTCTCGCCGCCGCGGAACTCCAGGAGCGGGTTGGTCGGCGTCGCTTGCTCGGCTGTGAAGAGGACGATGGGTGGACGTTGTGGCTGGGGTTGCTGTGCTTGCTGTTGATGTTGAGGTTGAGGATGATGTCTGACTTCTCCGGCCGCTGCAGTCTCCGCGAACGCCGGCGTCGGCATCTGCTCCTCGCCGGACTCCATTCTCTTACGGCTCATACGGTTGAGCGCAGAGCGAAGGAGCGAGGTGGTGCTTTGGTTGTTCCTGTTGGACGCTGTGCTGGAGGAGCGGCTGAATGGCTGAGGCTGCTGCTGCTGCTGCTGCTGCTGCTGCTGGGAGCTCCGGCTCTCGGAGCGCGAACGCTTCGCACGCTCTGCCTTGCGCGATCCGGCCATGGTCAGTGTCAGTTCTGCGGTGTTTGATGCGGTGATTCTGGTGAAGACGTCGCTCATGCTGTAGCGGCGACGGCGCCGCGGCTTGTCGGGAGATGTAGTGTTGTTGCTGTCAACCACGTCGGGGGAAGGAGCACCGTCACCAGCACTGTCACCAGCTCCAGCTCCAGCTCCAGCAGTCAGTGACCGGGCACGGCTGGTTTCCTCACGAACAAGGTTGAACGGGAAACGGGTGTGGAGGGCTTGGTCGTGCACTGGAAAGTCATCAGAGCGTGTTAGTAGCTGTGTGAAACGAGCATTCCAAAGATTATAGGTCAGTCTTCAGCAAAGAGACCCGCGTTACTGACCCGTATCAATGAGGTCGTTGACAGGCTGGTTCCGCGTCTCCACGTTGTTCCAGATCTCCGCGCCTAGCAGTGTGCGCTGCCAGTGTGCTGCGTGTTCTTTCATTGCGTTGGCCGGGTGGGATTCAAGTGAGGTGAACTATTGCTTGGGAAATGCGCGTTTTCGAAGGGTAAAGCTTAGAGGGAATGGGCGAGTTGTGAGAGGCAGCGCAAGCTAGCTGGGTGAAAGTTGGGGAAAAGCGCAGTGAAAGATGGCACCTGGGAACAACGCAATGGAGGACTACCACACCGCGTGGAACTCACAGAGCCATGTTGAGGGTGTTTTGTTTGTCTCTGGTTGAGTGGAGCTGTGGGGCTTCATCCCCCTTCTCATAGTATGTTTCTTTTCTTTGGTGATAGCTTGCTTAGTGAAAGAACACATGCTCCCAAATGCCATTTTGGAGGGAATACAAAGAACCGGAAAGGGGAGAAAGGAGCCACTGCATACAAATGATTATCCTTGATGTTGCGGGCAAGAGAGAAGTCCATTGCCTGCGGCCGTGTCTTTGTCAGGCTCCGTTCTCTGAATGAGATGGTTCTGAAACAGAAGGACTAGTCATTACAGTATCCCTGCAGCCTCACTAACGCTTACGGAAGCGCAGCGGTATGTTTCTTCTCAAAGCCAACGTCAGGATCGAAGTGCATTCTCGTAATGACCTCTCAGCCTCCTCAACTCCTTCCTTGCTATCGTCCGCCAGCTCAACTCGATAGTCTTTGAAGATTACGGCCAATGCAACCACAAACTCGACCTGCGCAAATTTCTTCCCCAGGCACGCGCGCATGCCATCGCTGAACGGGATGTAAGCGCCCCGGACCGGTTTATGAATGGTAGGATACTCCAACCCTGGTGCAGAAACACCGGGTAGGCCCGCGTTCTTGGCTAGAAAGCTATCCCCATTCCGCACGTCCCAGCGCTGTGGGCGGAAAAGTCCGACGTCGCTTCCCCAGTACTTCTCCGAGTAGTGCAGACTGCTTACGTTCAGATTGATGTTCACGCCAGGCTCCAAAACGTGGTCCTTCTCGTGATAATGGATCGTCCTTGCTGCGTCGCCAGTCCACTTCGGGACAGTTATGACGGGCGGGTAGAGACGCATGGTCTCAAGCTAAGTGCAGATCAGTAATGCTATCCGCGGCAAAGAGCCAGACAGGAAACTGTACGCACCATGACACATAAAGGAGTAACCAGCTTAGGGAACACAGTACCATAGTCCCAGATCCCAGCGTCAGTGGACTCCCCCTTGATTGCCGCCGCCAGACCTTCATACATCCATTCTTGAACGTCCGGGTGCAGAGCCAAAAGCAAGAACACGAATCGCAGAGTGGTTGCCGTGGTCTCGTGCCCAGCAATGGTGATAATGTGCAGGTTGCTGATGACCTCGCGGTCAGTCAAGGTCTCTTGGTCCTGTGTCTTCCGAGGCTTAAGCATTCCTTGCACCAGATGGTGTGCTTTGTCTGTTTCTTCCAATTCCCGCTCTGTTTTGTCGACCAACCTCTGCAGATACATTTCTAGGTTCCGATGCGCCGCGAAGTCTTGCTTGAAGAACGGGACGAGCGCTCTCGGAATCCACTTGGGTAGCAAGTTGTTGGCAATCGCCACTGTGGTGATCTTCTCATTCATATAGGACATCACGGACCGGAAGGTGAAGTCGAACCCAGCCGGGGGCGGAGTGCTGTCCTTGAAGATGTCATCCGGGCTCTTGAGCATATTCTGGGGCAGAGGCTTGAACGGCAGATCTACACCGAAGCCGGCACCGGTCAGGACGTTGAGACTGAATTTCAGGGTGTCCTGTCTCGTGTCGGTCGCCACGAAGCTGTCCCTGGTCTCGTTCGGTTGTGACTCGTGCCAGTACTCGATCAGCTGTTGGCTCTGCTTTATAGCTTGCTCCCACACCAGAGCATTGTTTCTTTCGTTGAACGTCGTTGCCGTATATCGACGGTGATGCGCCCATTCTGCATCCTCACACTGTTTGGATAAGCATGGGCATGATGTGTGACCGCAACGGGTAGGATCATACTCACCGTGACGACGTTCGGTCCGTACATGTCCAGCACCGCTGGAGGAGCATCAGCCTTGCGTACACATGCCCAGGAGTGCATGATCGACAAGGGAGAGGAGAGGGGAAGACTCACTATACTGATGGATTGGCTTCGTAAAGCTTTGCCGAGAGTTGACGATCTGGGTAACCAACGCCGCATCGGAGACGCTGCAGAAGATGCCTCCCGGGAAGACAAGCAAATACACATCGCCATATCTTCTTGCCTGTCGATCTTTGGCCCTCCAGCGGAAATTGATCAGGGTGTCGTACACCGTATCTGCCAGTCGGGCGGGAAACCAGTTTTCGACCAGATAGGAGAACCAAGGCGTATCGAGAAAGGCCATGGAGATGATGCCCGGGGAGAAGACAGACACCACATACGGAAGTCCCGAGCGCTGCGCGACGCGGACCTGCTTGAAGAGATCCTGCAGACGGTCAGCGAAGTATAGGCCAAGGAGGCCGAGGATGACCGTGGACCAGATCATCGTAGCCTTGTTGATGTCCCTCTGCTGCGAGCCCTTGATGCCTGTACAGCGTCGGCTATATGCAGGTGAAGGAAGGAACAAGCGGAAACAATGGCTATTGTTCCTAGAAGTTCCCGGAATGATTTACCCCACGAGCAAGCACAACATTCCCCGCTCACCCCCCAGTCTATCGGATCATTATTTACCCAGATGCCCTGCCAGATTCACATGTTTTTTTCAGACACGAAGTCTGTTCCGCTTGCTACAGTGGATGGAATTCCCGTTACAGTGGCACTGATAAAGTCATTGTTGTCATACTGAGATGACCTATGATGTTCCAGGTAATATCCTGTTCTGCACCAGCCACCCCTGCTGACACGACCTTACCTAGATTGCATGTAAGCTTCAACCAGAGTTCAAGATTAGCTCGCCTGAATGATTGGTCGAATGAGGTTGGAGAGCAAGCAAACCTCGAACGCTAGGACCAGAATATGTGGGGATGTGGCTATGGCTCCACAGTATCCGTATATTGCCAGTGCTTGAGCCTAGGCGTAGCGGAAGATAACTTATGTGCCATCTTCTTCAGCATGCACAAGAGCAGACATACTACATCCTCGCGGCACACTCTTATTGCATAGGCTTGGGTCATTCAGAACTCATAGGTAACTCAAAAGCTGGAATAAAGTTGTGGATTGTAATACAGTGAGCGATCGTGCGGGAGACTCACAATTGGAAGGGTCATGTGACTGGTCATCTCCGCCATCTAGAAATATATCTTCGGCAAATTTCCATAAGTACAGTCCACTAGTGACCTTGATGACTGTTATACTTATGGATACTCCAAATTGACCTCACGGCTGATAGCCAATTAAGCAAGGTTCCCAGGCATTACGCAGTCCCGGTCGCCATATTTCCTTATCGCCTTTTGTCAAGTGAGGAAGGACCGCACAATTGACGGCGCTGCTAGGCCCGAGGATCTATGGAGCGGATAGGCAGTCTGTGATGCAAAGTGCGCCAACAGCAGCGCGGAGAGTTCAACCGGCAGTGAAAGATTTATGAACTGGCAACTTTGTTCTTATGTCAATAGACAATATAGGTTTTACTTGCCAAGTCCTACTTGAAGCCAACCTCGTGAGAGACTTTCCTAGGAGAATTGACGAGAGCCAGATCGAGGAGCAGATGATCTCTGGGAAGGGGTTGACAAGTGCTCTCATGATCTATGTTTCCTCACGAGCTAAAGTTCCACTGAACATGCGGAAGAGGCTAGGGACCATCCAAGTGATTATTAAGTAGCAGTCATACGGAAGGGTTTGGCAATAGTCCTCGTTTTGGCCTTGCGTCTGGCTATTAGATCTACTGGCTGATGATCTTCCATACACAACATCCGGATTGACGGTGAATTTACCTTTCTGGCGTGAGGAGAACACCCTTTCTCTAAAATTGGTAGAAACATAGAAGTCACTTATTGAGAATAGAAGCCGGATACGGAACTTCAAGAACATATGACTATCCCCGATAGTGCTCCGAAGCGAGCGGGGAGGGAAAGCCGAGTCCGAGTACGGACAATGCGTCTGAACCTCCCATGTGGATCAAGCTTAGATGACAACCTTATTCGCCCTAGTTCTGGGCTGATTAAATGAATGGGCCTCTGCAGCACATGGGCATTGACACCAGATGGCGCAGGGCCACTCCCTAGCGACGTCACATATGTAACATGTCCCGAGTCCAAGGAGCAGTCAGGGACCGTCAAACCAGATCTAGCCCTCGAAAGGCGTTCTTTTACCCTATTTATAACTACTCCGCACTTGAATGCTTGCGTTCGAGATCGAGACCGAGGTAGAAGTACACACAGATTAGACGACGGGCGCACCGTACCATATCAACCGCCCGGTAGTCACTGGCGAAAATGGAGGTTAAATTGACCTTGCGCTAAGTTCTCGAAGCTCCTCCTTATAATCATTACATCCGTTGACACCGTTAATTAGCGTAGATAGGCGCGGAAGTCGTAATCTGTGCAGTATTCCGATCCTACAGCCAAAGAGCAACTTTTTGAAGTCCGTAGAAAAAATAGTTCGATTCAAAACACAATCATGCAAAGTTTATCCCATCAAAGCACTATCCTAGTACTTCTTGCCCTGGCGCAGGACATCACCGAACTCCTCAAGAGGGCTGCGGATGAGCTTAGTCTCCTTCCAGAGGTTGGGGGTGAGGAAGCCGTAGGTGTTGACGACGGCAAGGAAAGTGGCCTTGAGAGTGTTCTCGAGGGTCTTGGTGGAGCCGGAAGAGCAGGTGTAGGCGTCCTGGACACCAGCAAGCTGGAGGAGACGCTTGACGGCGGGGGAGGCAACGAGACCGGTACCGCGGGGAGCGGGGATAAGCTGGGAGCATGTTAGTCAACGGGTGGCTTTATGAGTCGAACTGGCGAGATTGCGACATACTCTGACAGAGACGGAACCACACTTGGCGCTCTGCTTGACGGGCAGAGAGTGAGGCTCACCGAGGTTGGTACCCCAGTAACCGCGACGGACGGGGAGAACGCTCAGCTTGGCGATGGTGATGGCGGCACGGATGGCGGTAGCGACTTCCTTGGAGGTCTTGATACCGAGACCGATGTGGCCCTCGGAGTCACCGATGACAACGACAGCCTTGAAGCGGGTACGCTGACCGGCACGGGTCTGCTTCTGGACGGGTTTGATCTGCGAAAAGAAAGAAGAATGACCGTCAGCACCTGACCATTCCGCAGCAATTCCCGTTCGACATTGTCCAATTCCGAATCCCGCATCCAATCCACCTGCGCGCCCGGTTCCTAGCACATGCGCCGATTCGAATGTCTTCCTTGTCGATGTTCCGGGTGATTTTGATTGAACGTTCGCTTCGTACCTTCATGACCTCATCCTTGAGCTTGGGGAGGAAGAAGTCCACAATCTGGTACTCCTTGACGGGCAGGGAGTGCAGGTAGATCTGCTCCATGCTGGTGATCTTGCCAGCCTTGACGAGACGGCCGAGCTTGGTGACGGGCTGCCATTCCTTCTCCTGCTCCTTCGCGCCACCACGACGTCCACGGCGGCCACGGCCACGGCCACGGTCACCACCGCGGTCACCGCGAGATCCGAATCCTCCACGTCCACGGGGAGCGGCGTCAGCCATGTTGTATAGATATGGCGATTGGGAAAGGGTCGGAGGGGCGAGAGGAGGTGTCGTGGGAGGGGTTGTCGACGTCGAGTTGACTTTTCTCTCGCTATCCACAACTGTTTTGGCACCAAGGGAAATTTCGCGGGCGGGTGCGCTAAGCGAGCCCGGAGCCCTATACCCTACGTGATAAGCCGTTTTGGGCAACCCGATCGGAGCCCCGTCCGGGTACATCATGTGATAAGTGGGTTACCCCGTCGGGAGCTGCTGCTCTCCAATAGACGCCTAGAGTGGCGTGGATTGTCGCGCATTTGCTTTGTTTTTACCCTGGGGGTGGATTAGGTGTTGGAACTTGGAGCTGTCTGACGGTTGTTGTTCCTGTTTCCCTTATCAGCGGTCTGAGACCAGATACTTATACCTGCATCATTGCTCCCTGAGTCTATGCTAGCACTCTTCTTCTGTTTCTTCTTCAGCCTCTTGTTTGTTGGTCGCAATACATCTTTTCTAGTCAATTCATTTCTTTGTATCTCCTTGAAAACCCCTTCATCAACAATCTAGACAAAGATGTTGCGGTGGTATGTCAATCTGACACTGAGGATTCGGTTATTCCTGTACCTCTTGTACTGACTTATCCGCTTCAGGTACCAAACGAAGCTGGCTAAACAGCCCATCCTGACCGCCAGTGTCACCAGCTTTGTATGTCTTCCATATCTTGTTTCGCCTCCAGTAATCCCTATTACTTGCTTTCCTCTTAACTCAGCTGACTCCATTGAAATCAGGTGTTGTTTGGCAGTGGAGATGTCCTTGCTCAGCAGCTAGTTGATCGCCGAGGCTTCGATAAGCACGATGTGGCACGAACTGCGCGCATGGCTCTGTATGGAGGTGGTAAGTTCAATTGACTCGGGGCGTTGCTGCCTCTTAAAAGTTCCTTTGCTAATGGTCCCAAGCAATCTTCGGCCCGGCTGCCACGGCCTGGTATGGTATTCTGCAACGCCATGTTGTTCTTAAGAACCCTATCGCTACCACCGCTGCTCGTGTCGCTGCCGATCAGCTGCTCTTCACACCAACTCATCTGACCTGTTTCTTGTCGTCCATGGCAATCTTGGAGGGCTCTGACCCAATGGAGAAGTTGCGCAGCAGCTTTGTGCCCAGTTACAAAGCGAACCTTACGATCTGGCCGATGGTCCAAGGTGTCAACTTTGCTATTGTGCCCCTGGAGTACCGTGTCCTGGTCGTGAACCTGGTCAGCTTGGGTAAGTAGTGTTTTATCTCAGACTGAGCAACAGCTGACCAGAACAATAGGCTGGAACTGCTTGTTGAGCTTGATCAATAGCGGCGAGAAATGATTAGACCCAGACCTCTCTTGATTAGCACTAAATTATAGATACCCTTCGAATTCATGACATTACATTTGATACTCGGTTCCTTAGAACCTGGTTTTGTTCAGTAGTACTTATTTTTTCAAATCCGCTTGAACATATGTGTCAAGACCGACCTTCACCGAATAGAAATGAAAGTTATATTTTGTTTACACATATTGGGGGCAGAGAACGCTGCCCGTCCATATCCAAACTTCGCAGGCGTCTATCATCAGGCTCGTTGGCTCTATTTAGCTTGTGGCATTGTGCATACAAAGTGAGGTTAAAGCCTCGCAAAGAGGGAAAAAATCGAATACTACGAAACTCTAGATTGACTGCATGGTAAAAAAAAACCCCCCTCTTGATGGTTAGCTCAGAGTGACTCCTACCTACCTCACTTCTCTGTCAGATATCATCATTAGGGCTGGGTTGGGCGGCGGCAGCCTATTAGAGGTCTGGAAGGGAGGGTGGCCCAAAAGGGAAAAGTTTCACTCTGGTCCCGACCTTGCGGCATCTCCAAACCATCAAAACTTGATGCTGTGATTTTCCGCCATCTTCCCCATACAGTCTCGAACACGACATTCGCCGTGATTCTGCCTGGAGCAGACGCTCAACTCTGATTCAACCACTTGCGCGTCTTCCCTTCCAACCCCGAAAACACCTTTTACCTCGAGTTGCGCCTTCCTTCGACGGCCTCTCATCACAACAACAAATTTTGCCATCCGCAGTTTTCTCTCCCCTCCGACGACGACCCCTCGCCTCTTCATCAACCCGACCCCGCCGCTCAACCCTCTTCATCCACCTTGACCTTTACCTCACCTCATACTCCCTCCACCATAATGGCCGCCGTCGCTGAGAACGGCCACGCACCCGTGGCCGACGAGAATGCTGCCCCCGTCGCTGCCGCCGAGCAGATCGAGAAGACGAACGGTGACTCGGTCACAGTATTCCACGACCCCGAAAACTTCAACGTCAAGCATCCTCTGATGCACGAGTGGACCCTTTGGTTTACCAAGCCCCCTAGTGGCAAGGTAAGGGACCGATCGACTTTATCGAATGCGTTCAACATTCATCTGACCCATCCGTGGTTATAGGGCGATAACTGGAACGACCTTTTGAAGGAGGTTGTGACTTTCAACTCTGTCGAGGAGTTCTGGGGAATCTACGTACGTTATGTCGCGTGCTGCGTGTGCCCCAAGTGAGATCTTTCTGGCTGACTGGTTTTATTAGAACAACATCACGCCGACCTCCGAATTGGGCCTCAAAGCAGACTACCACCTTTTCAAGAAGGGCGTCAGACCGGAGTGGGAGGACCCCCAGAACAAGCACGGTGGAAAGTGGTCATATTCCTTCAAGGACAAGCGCTCCGTGCCCATTGACGACTTGTGGTTGCACGCTCAGTTGGCGGCTATTGGCGAGACTCTTGAGAATGATGGCGACAGCGAGGTTATGGGCGTTGTTGTAAACGTGCGCAAGGGCTTCTACCGTGTAGGTCTGTGGACACGGACTGTTGGAAAGACCATTCCGGGCGACAAGAACAACACCCGTACGCCCGCCCAGGGTAAGGACATCCTCGAGGCTATCGGCCGCCGCTTCAAGGAGGTTCTCCGTCTTAAGGAGGCGGATGCCGTTGAGTTCTCTGGACACACAGACAGCGCGCACAGCGGCAGCACGAGAGCCAAGGCCAAGTTTGTTGTCTGAAGCGGATGCTAGCTTATGTCGCTTTGGCTTTATGATATCATAACGCGGGGGTCTTCGCTTTGCTATGGATTAATGGAAAAGGGCTCTGTGATGATGCGCGGTAACGAAAAGGAAAGGATCAGTACAAGGCATTGCCTGTGGGAGGAGACATATTCCAAACTGGCTTGCCAGCACTTCGCAGTGGGGTGATGATCTGGTTGCAGGTCTTTTCCTCAAGACGTATTTCTGACGAGGTTTATACCATATTCTGTTAAATTTCAGTGTTGTCCCTTTTGGGATTGTCCCTTTCGGGGTCGGAGAATACAAGAAAATGATTCAAACTGCTTCATTGAGTTGGCCTGTCTGATTGTTGCATGCATGGTCACGTCGCTGTCTTCTAGCTTGATTATCGAGATAAGTCCAATCCTGGTAGTGTATGCATCGGATTCAAATGTTCTTTTCATTCTCAGTGTTTATCCAATGCGAATGGCATCCTCTTCCTGTCCACGGTGTATACCGCATAGGTTAAGAGTAGGGCACGGTACTAGGTAACGAGTACAACTGGAGTAGGTGGTGGGTAGCGGTCCATGGCCGTGGAGGGAGTGACGTGACCTTGATAGTGACTTCCTGTTTAGGAAATTTTGAAGTGAATGAGGCGCCATGAGCGTCGCTTCCCCATCATCATCATCATCATCATGTCGAGTACCTCGGGTTCATAAAGCAGCTTTCTCTCGGTCTTCCCTCACAACTTCTTTCCTTCTTCACTCAACTCCCTGCCAACCCCATCCATCTTCTTCCCTTTCTTTCTCGTTCTCCTCCACCACCACTATCTCCTCCTTCTCATTCTCCACCTTGCTCTTATCTCTTTCTTCTTCTCATCCTTTCTTTGCTCATCCTTCCTTTGCTCATCCCCTCTTTTCATCTGCTCCTCTTCTTATCCCTCTTCTTATTCTTCCTCTTCTCATCCTTCTTTCTATCCTTTCCACCCTTCCCCTACCCTTCTTCATACCCCTTCTCTTCCTATCGCCTTCTCTCACCTTTCCTCCTTTGTTCTCCTCTCCTCTCCTCCTCAGAACATGACAGACCCTCCCACCTCCCACCTTCAAGACCCAGAAAGAATAAGGCAAGTATAGTCTGGTCCAGATCGAGACAGGTACGTGACCCCGAACATTGTCCCCGAGTACTAATGGCTTTATTTTTATTCGTAAGTTGTGCCGGATCGAGCATTTGTTCGTGACAGCGCAAGCAGGTTTTTGGCTCACTGGAAAAAACTTTGAGCTTGCCGTACCTCCAGACTTCCACTTGCAAGTTCTCGAGGGCCTATGGACGGGTGGTTGGGTTGGGCCTGGGCCACAAGACTTCGAACAGGGATGGGTAAGTCATTCTCCTGCTTTGGTGGTGGTGGGTTTGAGTAGATGCTGACTTATGACTGCTGATATATTTGTGTGCGAGGGCTCAAGCCGACGCTGGTAAGTCCTGTTGAGTTGTTCTTTGGTGTGTTGATAGGTCGGAGCTTCCTGCTGATCTGCTTTGCTTGATATAGATATCTTTCCAAGGCTGGCTTTTGAGGGGCCAGTTGGGAGACATGTGCTTATGGTGCCTGTGTGTTTGCTTGGACAATGAAGGTGGACACTTCGTCTTTGTGATTGTGCTGGTGGATTTGGTCTTGTTGTATAGGTTCCCGTGCTTAATGAAGGCCTTGTTTCGTGATTGTCTGTGGTATGCTAGCCTCCATCCTTCTGTAAACCGGCAAACTGAGTCTCTTCTTGAACAATATGCTCTCTTGGACGAGAGGAGACCCCATCCCATCGACTTTTTGATTAAAGGGTCTCCAGTGTTAAGGACTCTGGGATTTCTGGTGTATCTTGCTATTCTGGTTGCAAAAGGGATCATTATAGGTGAAACTGCCCAAGGATCTATACCGCCCTTCATGAACCCATGAACCGAAGGTCCCGATGACATATCATATTAAGTCTGTGCTCTTTGGCTAGTTCTGGTATGACAGTCATGAGCAGACTAAGCAGAAAGAG